AGCAACGGACGTCCTTTTTCGAGCACCCGTTTACAGCCCGCATCACGATTAGCACACGAGTTTCCAAACTGGCAGTTTCCACGGCTGCTCGCTGCTGGGAACTGAAGGGGAGGGGGTGGGGAGGGGAGGCGTGGGAGGCGGGCGGTGCCAGGCGCGGAAGGCGCGCGTCCACGCCCCAGCGCCCGGCCGACGACGACGGCGGCGGCAGGGCCGGCGCCCGCCGAACATCGTTTGCAGCGCTCCCATCCCCTTCCTTGGAATACTTCAATACGCGCTGCACAATTAGACCACGGCAATAGAATTGCTTTCAACACTTATTTTAGTATCAATAAATTCTTCATTTGAAGATTTATTGGTGTTTGAAAGAAGGGTTGTTGTAAGTCATGGAGACGTCCTAGGTTTATGAAATACAAATCTAGATCTCGTTTCTTCGAAAGTTGCATAATTCTTATAATATCCTACTCGAAAATCGATCTACGAAAATTTCTCAGTTGCTAATGCAGAAGTATCATGAGAATGACTATATAAAGTACTAATTTATAATATTCTAGTTTTAACAGTACATTATAACTTGTTAGGAAAAGTTACACACGAAGGTACAAAACTTTGCATTTCTATTTAATAAGAATATAACCACAATTTGGGAACAATTTTGTCCTAAAATATTAATTAAATCAGTTGTAAGAACGGAGACGTTTATAAATTATCTTTCTTCGTGCTGGAGTATTTATGATTTTGGGGCATATATTTTATTTTTCACAATCCAAAAATTCTGTTGGACCACAAAACAGTTTGAAACATACATGCCCAGCGCAAAGCCTAGAGGGCAGCGAAACCTTACCAACACGAACCAGATCCCCTTCAAAGCACTAACAAAGCAGGACGGCAAGTGGCGACAAATAAAAATCCAATCGGTTAGTTTCTAAAAATCGCGCTCCGTTCTCCATGGAATATGGGGCGCAGTGAGTCACTAAGCAAGTCCGCGGGGCCCCTCCGCCCCGGGGGCGTTTTTGCGCAGCCGCTGCCGCCTTCCGGTCTTAAGGGGAGGGGGGGCGGCCGCAAAACCACACGGCCACTTTCCTCGCCCGCCGCGGCGCGGGGCCGATACAAATAAACGCAGCGCGCCTCGTTTGCGCTCGCCGCAGGCGCGCGGGCGAGCGGTGACGGCGGGGGGAGGGGGGCGACTCAAGTGGCTGAACTTTGCGCGCAACTTTCCACTGCGCCGCCGCGGCATATATGCGGAGAGCATCCGAGATGAAGCCCCGGCCGAGCGCTGCTCTGCACAAGGAGAACTGCGCGCACAGCCGCGCTAACCGTGCACGGTGTTAAAGTAGTTTTTTTGCAACTTTTTATTTTGGCAATTAAAATAGCTGTTATGTCTTTTTGTCACTTTTTTCCGGCATGCGAAAGACAACACAAAGTCGGAAACACGATTCAGTCCTGCACGACACACGATATTAAGAAGAATAATGTTTTTCAGACTTACCACCCATAGAGTAGTATACTACTGTGCGACAAAATAGGGAGTGAAACAGTGAAATATCTTCACAAAATGCCTTGAAATATGGACGAACTCACTTGCTTATTCAGCTCAACTGCTCTTAAAACTCGACTTTTAAAAGGATCATCTACGTTCCTTTGTTCTATGTTTAATACCTGAAGTTCTTATGTATCTTTTAACTATCACTTAATTAGCCCACCATATTGTCTGGCTGCTGGCTGTCATACTGCTGGCATCTGTAGCCTATTCTTCACTTTCCATCCATAATAGTTAATGATTTATCGGCTGTGATGTATTTCAAAGGCCACTTCTACACAAAGTAGTTCAGAGAATAAAGGCGTGAAGGAACTATTACTTATAGGATTTGGCATCCAAGGGTCACGTATTATTTTCCTAGAATTACAATTCATTTGAATATCAAACGTAATTCTGTTCGTATTATTGCTATTGTAAATAAAAACGACATGAGTCTATAGCTGTTACCTTAAAATATTGTTTTCCACCTCGAGAAGCGCCGCAGCCTATTCTTAAGCCAGGGCCCGAGTTCTTGTGGCGCCTCCTGCGGAGGCAAAGCGCCGTCGCCCGCCGGGGAGTGGCGAGCGCTGAACGCTCCCGGGAAGGCGTCGCGGCGCTGGCAGCGCTTCCTCCGCAGGCGGCCTCGAGCGCCCGGCGCCGGCGTTCTCACGCCCGCCAAGTGGGTTAGCGCTTCCCAGCGGCGGCGGGGGCGACGCCCGGAGGTCGCCAGGTGAAAGTGAAGACGCGGAGGCGGAGGACGTATTGAAACTGCGATGGACGTGAGCCTCAGAGATAGCGGCTGTAGACGCTCGGGCGTCGACTGCTGTAGAGAGGCCGCAATGGCGACGGGGGAGACCAGTTGAACAAGTGCAGAAGCGGAGGTCGTGCGAAGAGCCAATGCGATCGTCAAGGAGGTTGGGGCGGGAATCGCCCGATCCCGCAGTCACGTTTCCCCCATACCTGCATCCAGTTAATCCCACATTCGGTTTTAGCTACCTGGACAGCATAACCCGGTCGGTATTTCGGGAAGTGGAAGGAGGAAACTCTTTAGTTAATTTTCCATTCCTGACTTACGCAAATAGATGTTCTCCAACCATTTGAGGGAAAAAACGCGAACACCTTACTCTTTTTAAGCGAACAGTGCAATACAAGTCAGACAAAATGAATAAGGTGAAATGGATAATTTGCGCACAGAGCAATCTCGGAAGCACGGATACTTAGATGAATTTTTGCTTGTACTCAAGAGGAAAACCGAACAGGATGCAATCGGGCTCTGCCCTTTTGTGGTGGCAGGCAAAGCCCTTACGAAAAGTTTAATGGCTGTATTTAATCGGGATACGTCCGTTCTCCTGCGTCCTAGGCGCAGGTGCCGTTTCGGCCGCCATTCTGCTACCTTCCTCAGGGCGAAAGGCATTTAAGGCACGTAGCTGGTGACTTCGGCTGCAGAAGCCCACGCTCCCGTGGTTGACGGCCGTCGTCTTGGCAGTGGTTGCGAGTCGGAGAAAGGGCCGCCGAAGAGCGGATGAGCGACAACGCGACGGAGGGGCACGATAAGGCGAGCAGGAGGCGCGTAGACCCGCGCGCAGAGCACGCGTGCGCGACCGCTCCTCCCCCCCCCCGCACTTTCCAAGGCGCGGAGCGCGCAAGCGGCCACGGGGCGACGCACGCGGCCATTTACATCCGCTCTGCTCTACTTCCTACGGCGCGGGACACGAGCAGGGCACACTCACGTGTCAACACGACCCCTCACGGAATATAAACGCACTAGAAACCCATTGCAATCTTCGCTCGTGAAAGAAAAATTGAGCACACAAACGTGAAGAGGTAATGGACAGATTCTTCAATATGGAAGAAAATATTCAAATAGTTGGGTGACTGATGATAGTTTTGGCGAATTATGCAGAAAGTATTATGGAATTTGTAGCTTTCATTTTCAATATACCTGGTATACATGCGTGTGTAATAGCTTTGCACAAGTATCAGAGTATAAAAGTATTCCTAAGTCCCGTTGAAAAAATCGTGGGGTAAAATTTCGAATATAAAGAAATGGTTGAAAACATCGTCAAATGTAAACGAGCGAAAGTAAGCAAATGAATTTTTCTGACATTCCAATCAAGAGGAAAAAGTAATGGAAATTGAGGATTTACCTGATTTAGGTCAAAGAAAGTATACATCGTCTTGATCATTACGGAAAACAGTACAGCAGTCAATAAAAAGATAATAGCACTGCTTCAGTGAGCCATAAAGAATCGAAGAGATCAATAATTATTTTCAAAAATGAAACTGAAAAATCTGAGAGGCTACTCGTAGAAAGTTTGTGATCAAGCGGATGCCTAAGGCGGATGCCTAAGGGCGTGCATAAAAGGAAGTCGAACAAGGAAGTAGCTTCCACTAGCGAAGGAAAGGCGACTGACAATAAAATTAAATAGTAATTATGCAATTTGCCGCTCGAAACGAAGACGCTCCTCGAGGGTTCATTGGCCCCGAAGAGCATCTCACCGAGTTTCTCCACTGCGAATCGTGACAAACCATTCTCTAAACTTGCGCATCATTGGTCTAACTAACACGCCTACCCTTCCCGTGCCGAAGCACGGATTTCTCTTGCGACTGTAAATTTGCTCAGTCTCAGCAACTCCCAGCGCCCAATTTCGCGGCGATATTGGCCACGCGCGCCGCTGCAGACGGGTGGGGCGCGGGCGGGGCGGGGAGGTGCGAGGGCGGAGGTCCCGGGCGCGATCCCGGGAGTTGTGCGGGGGCGAGTCTTCCGCTTTCGCGATGCTCTGCCGAGGGAAAGCTGCCCCAACACTAAGGGTCGCTTGTGCACGTGACCTTTTCAGCGCAGACGCCTGCGAGATCGTGACATCTGCTCTTTAATAGAAGCTGTCAACCGGCAAGGGAGATATATTTATTATGCAGGGTTGTATGAGGTAGCACTGATGTCTCGTTCACAGGAATGAAGGGCAGTTTCTCTCTGTATCTGAAAAGCTCATTAAGCCTTCGATTTTAACACACTATCTCCACTAAATTAAACAAAAAGATTTATTATGAAATGAAAAAAATCAGCGGTATCGTGAAACAATGTATTTGTTTTACCCTTCATATTATAATATTTTTGATTCACAGCAACGAACTAAATGTTGCCAAAAGAACAACCCTATATTAAATGAACAGTGGAATATATTTTGTAAGTCATAAATATATTTCAAAATTCATTTGACATTACCCATTTTAAATGAATGTATATTTTCTTATTATGGATAAATATCAGGCAATAGTTTTAAAATTCTTTAATGATAATTCAGGGTGTGGGAAGAGATACTATCATTGAAGATTTTCCCAGAATTACAACATTGATAATTTAAGAACAGTGGACATTATTATTGTAATAATTGAAGACTGGGCGTGACTTGACTCGTTTCTTGCCAATGACGATACAAGTAAACAATAGGCCATTTAGTGACGAGCCGCATTTCATTAAGTGAGAATGGCTAGCTCTGGTGGTTGTCTTCGAAATGCCTTTGCGGCAGCTACTCCGGACGGAGCCTTGCCCAACGTCCCCGAGACAGCCGCTCCACGCAGCGCGCACTTTCGCTGCGGGCGAGGCGGCCTCGTCGTCTGCCTCGGCCGACTCACCGCGCTTCCCCCGCGCCGCCCTCGCGGCGCTGCATTGGCACTCCGTCTCCCTCTCTCTTCGACGCCCGTGAGATGAAAACAGCTATAAAGAGCGCTCAAGTGCCAGAGAAATAACACTGTTGCCATACAGAACCGTACTGTATTATTCATCTGTATTTTATTCTTTACCTAGAAAGGAAGACGGCCTTGAATATTATATACATGAATGTGAAGAGCCAAGGTTATTTACTTGCAGTCTCTCACACAAAATTCTGTACTAGCAACGTTAAACATAAAATGTAGGAAATTATATGGCATACAAGATATGATTGCGTTTGCCAATAATAATCTCTGCAAATGAGTACAGCTTTTACTTCCACATTTCGTAACGCAGCATATACGTGCGTTTATAAAGAACAACTTGAAATAACATCTGCATGGAAAATTAGCTCTCTCTGGAAGATTAACCCCGGAGTTCACACCTTCCTATTCGTTATTTTCTTTTAAGGTCTATCTCGGTTATTAAACGCACCGTGAACACTTCAAATTATAAACAATAATGAAAAATGTAGTTTGCCTCTCATTACATAACTGTTTTTGACATTAAGTAAGAACGTGAAGTTGAGCAATTATTTCAATCAGTATTGAACATTGAGACGTACACGAGGAAGACAAATAACAATTGACAAAATGCTGCAACATGATTTGGTATTTGAAAGACCAACTGCTTCCTATGATCTTATTTGATAATGACTCGCCTTATATGCTCATTCTGCTAGCCCAATTTACAATGGAACACTGTAAATTAATTTTGTGTTCTTTCCTCACCGCGTGTCGCAGGAGGCGCTGGCGGAGGAGCAGCAGCCCAGCTACCAGCACCTGGTGGACCCGCTGCAGTCGGAGGAGAGCATGGCGGCGGCGGTGGGCGCGGGCCCGGACGGCCGGCGGCCGCCGCCAGGCGCCGCGCACCACCGCGCGCAGCAGGCCGCCGTCAACGCCAACTCCCTGTCGGAGGAGGAGGCGCAGGCGGAGGCAGAGGCGGAGGCGGAGGCGGGCGCCGAGAGCGATGAGGCCGGCGACGAGGACGACGACGAGCCGCAGCCCGTGCGCATCAAGCTGCCGCTCACCCTCGACTTCGACGACCTCGCCGGGGTAACCACCCTTCTCCTTACGCTTCGCTCTCGCACTTCTCGGTTTGCAGGCTTAGCCCCGGGCTGTACATGTCGCACTGCTCGCCTTACACCGCGTCCTTATGGAATGCGATTCCTCTGCATCTTGTAGCTTCAATCTTCTCCGTCTTCATGCTCAATACTCACATCATTATTATTATTACCACTAATGCCTTACCGAGGAGAGACGACACTGGTATATTGCGATTTGGCTTCGGATCTATAGCGTTTGCTCCGTCTCCCCAAAATTCTATACAATGCATAAAATAACACCTTATACGGAGAGTCCCTGGATCCTACAGTAACCAATGCACGTATACAAGTTACTTCATAAAGCGATATGTTACAGAATATATACAGCGAAATGATACATTAAATTCAATCATTCGTTAATGCATGAAGTATAATTAGGTTAAAACTTGAAGAAATATACATGTGTACAATACTATTTTTTTTACATTAACGGCATATCATTAGGCCCCTTTTTTCAAATGAACTATTCACTTGTATAGTAGGCTTTTAGGCTTGTTGTAAGCGAGAACAGTTAACCTCAAAGCAACGCACCTCGAACAAAACTCTAGACACTAGAACATTTGCGGTCTCTTCCAATTTGAGGTCAGCAGAGCGCGAGGTGCTGTGCTCTGGGACACCGCGCACACAAAAGGCAAAGCGCAGACATTCGTGCGCCCGGGTGAAGACCTCACGACGGCAATGGCGCTTGTTCCATTCTCTCTTTCTTAATAGGGCCCTTTGTACACTAAGACACGTACCTTTTACACCCCAATGGAAAATAGTATTCGGAGCATACAACAGGCACTAGCACACTTGCGGTCTATTCGGATGTGTGGTCAGGGGCGTTTGACACCCTCTGCGACGCAACACATTCGAAAGTCAACGAACAAATACTGAATATATTCTCAGAAATACACAATCTGAGCATGTATGCACCGAGGAACTGAGCTTTTACTATCCCTCGACAATCCAGGCTGGATCACTTTTTATTCTAATATATTACATTAAACGTTTAAATTCCATTAACTTTTTCTTTAAATAAATCATGTTTGGCCACTAACATTGAGCAAACGGGTGCGATTATTACTTGACTTTTTTTGAATTATTACTTAATATCAGTATACTGATATACAACACTGGTTATTTTATTAACGCTTGGATAGTCACATCGGATGAATACCAATTAAGGTAGGTCACAAAATTCAGGGAAGAAGTTCGTTTTAGGCGTTCACGGTATTTTGCTTTTTAATTTTCGAATGCACTCTAAATAAATCTATTGAGTTCTGGGATAGAAACGAGGCAACACGAGAGAAAAATGAACAGAGATTGCAGTATTGACTAATTCATTGTGGAAATGGGAATGTCGTACAAATAACGCCATGAAGCATGGAGCCCAAACATTGCCAATATTGTCCCAGAAGCTGCGCCTCAAGGGCTGTAAAACTCTGGACACGGGTTCTCCTCTATTAATGGTGCACTCAGTTTAAAATATTAGTATGAATAAATCACACCGGCGAAAAAATGTACATAACGAGGTGAGTTTAAGTACGAAGTAAGAAATCTCATCAATTTTACTCTCACCGATTTCGGAGTTTGTTATTTACATGATTGCATTTCCAAACTCATGAAACCTAAGAAAAAGTATGATATATTTACATTTTTTTAATATTATTCCACTATGATTTCAAAAGGCGAAGAATTGGGATACATAACTTCAATCTGCTTAAGTTCAGTAACATTAGTTGTCATAACTTTATACAAATACCTTTATTTTTTAGGGCAAATGTGCATTCATATATGTTTTAATATTAATTGGCGTGAACGTTTTTGACGTTTTATTGTTGAATAATAAGAGTTAAATATTTATTATAAATTAAGGTTAAGGGTTGTAATGATAGTGCGGTGACAAAATGCCCGAGTGCCTTTGGCCCCAAGGGCTTTCTGTCACCCGCGATTATTAGAACCCGTTAACTCCCGCGGTACATACATAATTTTATTTTTTACCTAATATTATTGATTCGGATATACTTTTTTACTAATTAACTGGTTGTTAATTTGACTCTGTTTCTCTTTTCATATTTCCCTCCCACAATTTCCTCCATAAGAGAACATGTAGCATCATTCAACTGTTTTTCTATTTTCATCATTACCACGATCCTCTCGATGCAGTAAGTCTGGTAGAGGAGGTCGATCTCCGTATGGAAGGCTACAACGCACCAGTAAAAAAATAAAATATTAAATACAACAAGCTAATGCCATAATTCGCAAAGCGTCGGAAAGTGTGTTACTTTAAGCGTGGGTGGCCGGGGCCGCTTGCGGCATAGCGTTCTTATCCCTTTGAATTGCCCGTGCGGTCCCGTGGCGCCGCGCGCGCGCGGGTGGGTGGGTGGGTGGGTGAGTGGGTGGGGTGGGTGGTGGTGGGAGGCCGCGTGCTGCACTGCAGCCCTGCCCGTCGGCGCCCCGCTCCACGCGCCGCTCGGGTGGGCGGGTCCACGGGTGGGGTTCACTGGGCGACAAGGGCGGCCCCAAACCCATTTGTTAATTGGCATCTTGCCGTTATTCTATTTCAAATCTTTCGTCGTGCATAAATCTGACAGTTTAATAAAAAAAGGCCCATTGAAATACTGTATTGCAACTAAAGACCATTAATATAATTTCTATTTTTAGTCTGCCTTCTATTAAATCACTGCCATAATTATAGATTGATGAATTTTTTTCTCTTCCTACATTGACAAGGCTAGTATTCGCTTAAAATATTAAGTTTTTTAATATATTTTAGAGCAATAGATTATATAGATTGTAAATGCAATAGAAAATTATTGCATCTATAAAGATGATGTTCTTTTTAGTAGTATAATATGACAATGTTTTCAAACTTACGATGTCACAAGCATTGGTAGGCGAAGAGGTTTTGTTGTTTTAACAGTGGCACTTGTCTTCTCAAGTTTTCCATAACTGAAAATTATTAATATTCCCGTTAAAAATGTACTTGGAGAAGAACAGTGTTGTGGAAAAGGATGAGGTAATTCCTCAATGAGTTGCAGTAGTAAAAGGGTCTGTGCGCGTGTGCGTCGCAGGCGCTGGTGGAGCGCAACCAGCGTTCGCGCATGAACTGCGTGGTGGAGAAGCGGCGCGCGGAGCAGGTGGTGGACCACCAGCCGCGCACACTGCGCCTGCCCTTCGGCGTCAACGTCACCACCGACCCGCGCTACGAGCACGTCTCCGGCGAGCGCATGGCCATCTTCTGCGAGAGCGGCAAGGAGCAGAGGTCAGTCGCCACGGCTTTTCTACATACACCACACGCAATCAATTCAATACTCTATTGCCAAAGGTATCAACGTTTTTGCGTGGGTGTTTGCTCTATTTTCCTTGGTGCGTTCCACAGGCACATGCCCATGGACATGGTAGCGGCGGCGACTCCCGTTGTGGTGCCCCTGCCCGGCCCCGTGCACCTGCCCATCCAGTTCCACGGACACATGCAAGCGCAAGCGGAAGCCCAGGCCCAGGCCCAGGCCCAGGCCCAGGCCCAGGCCCAAGCTCAGGCCCGCGCCCAGGCCCAGGCCATGGCCATTGAGCAGGCGCGCGCGCAAGCCCAGGCGGCGGCCATGCAGCAGGCCCAGGCCCAGGCACGCGCCCGCTCCTTCCCGCAGCCCCATCCCCACCAGGTATGGAGTGGACACACTTGCCCCGGCAGCACGAGGACTCGCATGTGCCATGGCACCGAGCAGTGCTTTGACGATGTTTTATGCTCTGTGAATAAATGACTATGCCACTTCTTTCACCATTCTCTAATCTCTATATCTATAAAATCTATATTTTCTTATTTTTATATTTCTATAACACATCTCGAAAAATTAATAACAGCAACAAAGTTTCCTCGAAACCACACGATAAGTTGGGACAAAATGAAATTTTGTTTTTATGAAACTGTTCCAAGTAACTGAATGAACAATTCACTAAGTACGCGCAAAAGGTGTAAGTACATTAAAGAAACATCCGTATTTTGGCAAATAGGTAATGACGTAATATACAAGCGATATGTACATATATGTATATATATAACTATGTATATAATTCTACTCATTCAAAACAATTTCAAAAAAAATCGTCTCGATTTTCTTAAACTACATAGTTTGTTTTGAAACGTGATTGAGTAGTTGATTACAATAAATTAACACTTGAAAAAATGGAAGTATTAGTTAAAAATAGAATTTCTTGTAATTTTCAATATTTGCCTTTCTATCCGGTAGTGAGGATTCTTATTCATACTTGGAACATCCATTTTCAGTCTAATGAAGAATTTGAGACAGCTGTATCTCTTATGAAGGGTTGAAAGAGAGAATCGAAAATCGAATGGAACATTTCCTTTCTAACATTTACATCGACAGTATGTGTCTCGACTAATGAGAAAATAAACAGACGCGTACATTTTACATAAAATTATTAAGAGATATTTACAGAAACATGATCTTCGAAACTTAATATAATTGTATTAAATGTGATAAAAATGTCTAGTATCACTTGTAATAGGCATTGACAACTGTAGATAGTTACCAATGCCGTAAGGATAGACGATGGCAACTAATTGTGCTTGCGCCGGCAGGTGCTGCAGCAGCTGCACCAGCACCTGATGCACCAGCAGCAGCTGCAGGAGCAGCACATGCAGCGCATGCATCGCATGCAGGCGCAGCAGCAGCAGCACGAGCGCGAGGCGGAGCGCATCCAGCAGCGCCAGCAGGCCGCCGCGGCCGCCGCCGCCGCCATGCACGCCCACGCCGCCATGCGCGTCGCCCAGCCCAAGGCCGCGCCCGTCCAGGTGCGCCCGCTCGCATTACCCTTGCGCACCGCACCCTCAGGCTGCCGCCAATAACTTCTCAAGCATGTCTTCGTCTTAGGCCAATTCAGAGAGGGCCAGAATTAGCCAGTCAACAATTTTGTAATATTGTTTAAATAATTATAATAATAATTTATTAAACTACAAGTAACTGTACAATAAGATGCTATAAACAATATTGTAACTGATATTTTAAAAAATACCATACGTAGTCATGCATTGAGGATGTTATGAATAATACATTTCTAGAAAACCGGTATTAATTCTGTTTTATTTTATTAGAATAATCGCTGGCTGGTTGCACACCAAGTATGTTTATTTACCATATTCACAAAATGTGGGAGAAAATACAACAGATGTAGTTATCTTTGGACACAAGTGTGTGAACTACAAACAACAACTTTTAAAAATCTTTTAGAGTATATTTTCGATAATGCACACTCTGAAGTTTCCAATAAAAATTCTTCCTTTAAATGTATAGACTACATCGTTGAAAAGACACAAGAGAAACAAGAAAAGAGTGAAATTGTTAAAATATTTACACAATATTTAATGATGGGTCATTAAAGTCACCATGCAGATAACGGTGAAACTGCATCTAAATGTAAGATATGAACATACTTTTATATGACCTGCAATGTTCCTTCATTTAAATACAAACCAACAGATACGTACATGTGGAACGCACGTGAGTGGTTACCCCGAGTCCATCGCCAAGAAATGCCCTTTCGGTTCAAACATCACTATTAATTTAATTTACTTTTGACTCAGCAAAGGGTTTTCGAGAGGAGATTGACTAACGTCCTTCCCCGTTGCGGCAGGTCGCGGAGGCCCGCCACATCCCGATCCAGCTGACGGAGGCGCGCAACATCCGCTGCAGGTGCGGAGGGGCGCGTGCTGCCGCAGTGCTGCAGCTGGCCGAGGCGCGCCAGCTGCCGTGGAGTGGCGGAGGCGCGCGAGGCGGAGGCGAGGCGGAGGGGCCTTCCCGCGCCTGCCCGTGCACGTGCCCGTGTCGCTCATGCAGGCCGTGCCCGTCGAGGAGGCGCCGGCCCAGCCGCAGCCGCGCCCGCATTGTGAGTCCCCGTCCCCCGCCCCCGCCACACGTCTCCGCCCTGGCTTTTTTTTAAACTAGTACAACAGTAGGGAACGTGGGGCAGCCCGTGGCGGACTGGATCCCAGGTTCACGGCAGGTTTTCGCGGAGCATTCTTGTTTCCTCTGCCAATTTGTATTCAATCAGTCAGCTTGTCATGAACCATAATTTCGTTAGATATCCAAGGACCACAGAGGCGATAACCAAGGAAGAAGGGCTTAGCGAGGTATCGATTGGTGGGATCCAGGCCTGGCCAACTGGAGAGAGAGAGGGGAGGACGCCCTCTCCCATGACCCTAGCTACAGATGATAGGGAGTCATTGGAATGCCATGGCGCGGGATGTACAGCTTCGATGAAGCTAGCCACTGCGGGGACAGAGTTTAGTACCACCCATAGGAAACTCTTAAATCACCGCACCCCATGCTGTGAAATCAACTACACTCTTTGTAATCCGAGAGATTGCGTTACAAAAACGTGAGTCCTTGAGAAACGTTTCAGAATTCGCGCAATGGAATCGCTAAAATCGAAAATCAATGCCTTGGTCTGGCAATATCACCTTCAAGCGCTATGGCCCCTCAAACTTGTAAAGTAGCCTTATATCTTGTCTTGTCACGTCTGTAACTTTGTGGGAATGTTGTACAAATTACAATGATCCAAAAGAACTTGTTCCGCCACTCCTTTCTTACGCACATTTTCCGACCCTCTTCATGGGCCATAGCATGTACAGCAAAACAAAATATTTTTAAATGTTATCCATACCTGGAAGGTCATTGGAAAATTAAAACGTGTGCTAAAAAAACATGTTCTGTCCCAGTTCCGACTGCTGAGTTCACGTCAAAAAATTCAGAAAAGGGGGGTCATATGGGGGCACAAAAAAGACGACATGGTGACTAAACATGTGCTCAATCTTCGCTATGTCCTTGTTGAAGTACATTAAGACCTGAACATTTATCAAAACCCTAGATTTTGTGCCTAAAGTTAAAACGTTTTGAATAAAATACTGACAGCTTGTCCATGCCATTGGTTCACGTGCCTTTGCCAGTCCAAAAGATACCCTCTCAATACGTTGCTTTCCAAAGCGACATTTTAAATTCATCATAAATTACACTAGAGAGCATTAGTAGTAAAAATTGCTCATCACTGGGACGGCACATTAAAAACAATAAAACAACAAATATTTATACGATTTCCGATAGCGCTATAGTCCAGATTGGCAGTCCGTTCATTGCAGAAATTTCTAGAAGCACTTGTTGTCTTGCGACAGTACTGCTAAGCGCGTAGCTATGCGTCACTATGCGCGTAGTGCGCACTCTACACACTCATGTTATCTATTAAGACCTATGTTGAACAATAATAGAACATAATTTGTGCATAAAATCAATTCAGTTAAATATGGTTTTTAAACTAACATTAATTTTGAAAGTCCCTGAAAAACTTATAAAATATTTTTTTTTAAGTTTAATATTACTATACTATTCTTCTTAAGATACAAACCACAGACTTATGGATTTGAGAAGCAGTGCTAAAATTAACTATTGAAAGTACAAATTCCTAATGACTTATGTTGAATTATCAGCATTACATTTTATCATCTTGTATTTTACCAGTCATTTCTACGACTATTTATGTTCAAGCAAATACTCTGATAATTAATAGCTCCAGAGGGACGTTATTTGACATTTCCATTTCCGTGAATCTTTCGAGTGACGTTAATCCGAATTATCAGCTCTGAAACACACGAATTTTTTACCAGTTAGTTACGTGTAAAACGAGATATGGCGCTAATTTTATGAATACTCGTTCCTAAACGCCAGACGGTTAATTATGCTTCGATGATTAAAATTCAACATTTAATTACGACTGCGTTCAGTGAATATGGTGGTTTGGTTTGTTGGAGAGCATTTTCCCGCGGGCTTTAGCGATGAAAGGCTAACTGCACTCCAGCGGCGACCTTTGTTCTGAAAAGAGATTACAGCACTGACACACGTCCGGTGCGTCTGTCACACTGACAGTGGCCATTATTTTCCGGAAGTAATGCTCTCTGCGCAACACCGGAAGTGACATGGACCATCACTATTTTATCTGATCAATCGTCGACTCCGCAAGTGATTTTCAATTCGTGTGTTCATCCATTCAAATGAAAACGATCAAACTTCCGTTATGTGCACAAATTCATCTCACTTCTTCTGCAATAAATATACGGGTGTATCTTGTATCGACAAATTGTAAAATAATAATGTGAAGTTTTTCCTTACTAGGAAACATGTTGGCACTGCAACTGCGAGAGAAATAAAATTAACGAAATGTATAAACATAATTGTGAGATACTATACGTTCAAAGTTAAAATTCTCAATATTGTTGGAGACTGATGTGTTTTTACAAAAAGTGGAATGGTCAAGCACTACGTATATAACCGAGAGTGAAAAGCCGTCTTTACCAATGTTTTTATCGACATCAACCAAAATTATTTCTGCACAATCAACACATCACCAAATATCGATAATCACAGAAGTTTTTAAAACAATTGTAAAGATATCTCCCGTATGATGTTTACGATGATGCACCCAATTCTTAGATGCTAGACATTTTGGACACTTATTTGAAATACTCGGGCTTAAGAGGTAATAACTACAAGACCGTAACCATCAAAGTTGCTTTTACAATCGTATAACATTTTGCATCTTCCATATGTTGTTCATGCAGTGTTCAAGTACCTCAATATATGACTCATCCGTGAGCGCCGGTTGTTACTTTTCTGTAATCCATTGTAAACCAAAATGTTCCGTTATTTAAATCTCGAATGGGTTTCTGTGCGGGTTTTCATGTTTTCCACCGACCATCATCATTGAAATACCTAAAAAGGGCTACTTTAGCCCTGTGCGCAGCCAAGAGAACATGTTCTACAGGGAGATCAGGTTTCAGGCCTCACCACTAGAGAAGCAAGCAATGTGCAAACGTCCTACCAAGAGGGTTGTAGTGAGCCGCTTTGCTCTCGTTGCAGACGTGCAGCCGCGCTCGGTGCGCGCCAAGCGGGCCGTGGAGGAAGTGTTCCTGCACAAGCGCGAGAAGCGCATGCGCCGCTGCGCCTGCGACTGCTCCTGTTAGGCGCCCCCGCGCCCCGCGCCGGCGCCCTTTTATACAGCGCCACTCAACCAGAGCTACTTATTACTTCGTAGAAACAAAAAGTCTGAGCCACACTACCCGCCTTTTGTATTTAAAAACGTTAGATGTATAACAGATTGTATTGTGTGATCGTACTTTCCTGTGTAAATATTACTTGGATATTATAAATAATAAAGACTTACACAATTGGATCTGAAATTCATTTCACGCTGTATTGTATAATTTGCTTCCCTTTTTGTCTCATTCCCTTATCCCTCCTACAACTGTTAATTATCGTAAATGTAGAATTTTAACAATATGAATAAAGAAATACCTTTTGTAATATTTTCCTTCAATTATATAGATTTCAGCATAAATTTAATCGTAATTTATGCGTTCAATTTCAAAGAAATTCTTACAAATTCTTTGTGGTCACACAATCTTGATCACACTTCTTCAAAATTTAGGAAGACATTTTATTTGCTAAATTGCTAATAGTTTCCGAACTAGTGCCTTCTAACAAGTGTGTTTGTGGATCATCCAAATCCTTCTTTGTTCGAATATCAATTAACTGCTACATTACACGTGAACACGTTCATCACTTACTATTTCAAATCATAAAATGACAAGAGTATGATAATTCTACAAGTCAACATTATTTCAAAATAGAATAATTGCCCGGTTCGGTTCAACAATGAAAAATTTATTTTATACACCAGGAAAATATGTGGGCATCAGTGCTCTGCTCTACGAGTTAATTAGAGATTTTGGTGGGGCATCTCTGACATGCCGTACGAGCTGGAGGGCGTGCCAAATTACATACATACTACATTACATACAAACTAGTAGCCATTATTATCGGGGCATTTATGACATGCCGTACGAGCTACAGGACGTGTATGAGGCTCATTGCACACGAGTGCAAAGGGTTAAGAAACCAAATGTACTCCTGCAGACCAGGGTAAAAGGAACAAAACTGGCTGATGTGCATTCAAACTTTTATAACAATCAAAAATAAGGGACACCAATTATTAAATGATTAAAATAAAGGATACTGTTATGTAACAAAGTATTTCGTCAGACGGGTCTAAACGTGATGGAAATACAGGCTGTGCTACATTCCAGTCACCAATTAATAAAATTGGTTCTCACCGCCTCTCGGATTCCTTCTCCATTGCTACCTGACAAGCGCGGGCGGTCCTTCAAGCCATTACAATCAGCGTTAAGGCTCCAAAAGATACTCCCATTGCAATTTTTTCACTCAATGTAAGCATTAACAACAGATTCACTTCCAATCCAATTATTCAAATTATCCAGGAAATTCTAGAAAAGTAAGCTATAAACGGGACCAAAATAGAAATAATGTGGATCTCCTCGCACAAATAAAATCACTGGCAATGAGAAAGCTGATGCAGCCGGTAAACTGGCCACATCAATTATCTTCACCGACAACTAAATTCAAGGCACTTTCCAAGACTTTGAAACGTCTGTAAAATACTACTACCTCAGTTATTGGGACTAACTGGAAATTGGATATTTCCAAACTCCATTTAGTGAGGCAATCTATTCTTGACCCAACTCTCCGCGGAAAGCATTTTAAGAGGAGAGAACAGGTTGTACTAGACGAAGTATAGGCCATTTCAATCTCAATTTCTGCCAACTATTTAAGAGATCAGCTCCAGAACGTGTCCAAAGTGTGGTGCAACAGTCTCCGCCTTCCACCTTGTTCTTGAATGCCCTGGTACTAATAATATAAGAAAACTTCTAAAAATTGAAGGAACACTACAACCATTACTCGTTCCACAATAATGTGCGAAAAAATAAAATTATTTGCAACTACAAAACTGTACAGCCTTATATAGCTGCTTAATGTATTAGAAATGAAATTAGATCAAACCGTACTTATTGTGAAAAATGTGATTAAATTTAACATTTTTGTCCTTGTAATAAGTATAACTTTTATGTTTATATACAATTGTATAATGACAGGGGTCGCTAATGACTTTGAAGTTATAAAGAGACCATAAATAAATAAATAAAAATGTATTTCGCATTTGTAAGCATGTTCGAAGATCTTATTCATTAGTAGGATAGTACGCATTCAAGTCAAAACTCCATGCATATAAAAACTGAATTGACTCACTTGAATGACGGTCTACCAGACTTTGCCAAGGCTTCCAAAACTGTAATTTGTAATTCTGTAATTTGTCGCGCTGATATTTCTTTCACACTGAACACACTATAAAATCTTTATGATAGTATCATAGAACCAGATGTGTATTACGCTCTTTCAAACAAAAAATAAATTACCATATTAGGTTGAAGAGTATAGAAATGAGGCATTAATCACATCAATGGAACAATATTCAAAGTGATAAACAGACTTACCTCACTGATAGGTAATGAATTCTAGTTCTGATATCAAATATTTAGTGTTTGAGGGTCAGTGGTACATTTGAAGTCAGAATAATAATGCATATTATTCGTAATGAAGTATTAATTTACAACTAGAGACAAACAATAATAGAATAGAATTAAAGTCAGAAAATACCAGGGAATTCCTTTCAATTCAATAGAATTTCTAGATGTTGCGACAACTATTTGTTCAATATTATTAATGAAGTTGTTAATATTTGTGAATACTTGATAAATTCTAATGAGTTAGATTTAAATTCCATTAAATGAAACGTTTCCGTTCACAGTCATTAAAGTCTTCATGTGTATTTAGATAGCGCAATATACATTGTTCAAACAATATACTGACAACTTTATTAATAATAGTTAACAGTTATAAAAAATGTTATTTGATGTGATTCATCCTGTCTTGTATCAAGGTAAACTAGTGGTGCTACAGAATGTCACAGACTTTTTCGTATTAGTTTTCTATTTACTTTGGTCTCGGCTAGCTATTAGAGTTTCCCACACTCTCTTGCCAACTGCCATCTAAAATCCATTTTTAGACTACCTTAATTTTTCCATCTATAGACATATTAGACCATCTTAATAGTGTACTCGTAATATTACTTTAAAAATATTAAAGAATTGATAAAACTCGACCTACATAAAACTTTTCATTGAAAAAACTGTATGCCTCTCACGTTATGGAATCTCACATACCCAGTGAAGACTACAATCTCTCTTTTTTTGGTGAGAGGTGGATAAAGTATTACATCATTGCCCATTATTACATACGAATGATATTATAACATACACGAGTTATTCACGATGGAAACGTGTGCTGCAGTGTGTTGCTGATTTCATTTACATATTTTTATTTCTAGATTAATACAAATAATTATAAAAGCATAATTTCAAAATTTTACATTTTCGTCTTAAATCCGTTCCACATATCTATGGAAGAATATTATCAATCTAATAAGAGCACATTAAAAGGACACAGTGAAGTTGACATTGATAAATGGTACAAAACTGAGGAATTTTTGATACTACGACTTTCATACAATTATGACTAGTTGGGCAATACATACCGTTTTAAAAGTGAATCTAGTATCATACTGGACCCTAACGTCACGTCAGAGCTTCAGCTAAACATTGAAGCATTTAAGACCCGTCAAAAGCCCTATTAACGTCTAAATTTAATTTTAGATGCATTTCTAGTTTCAGCCCGTTTCTGACCACCTTGCTGTGGAGTAATGATCACTAGAACGAGGAAATGCTATGTTACTCTCCTTGCATCCACATACATTCCCCTCACATATCTCCATATGTTTACATGTTATCTCGCATGTTCACAACTTGCTCTCTTTATGTTTCAGGAATATTTCATCATATTCATCATTTCATCATTTTCTACATGTTCCTCACGTTTCCCATACGAACTCCCACATGCTTCCTCATGTGTTCATCACAGATTCCCACATCTTCCCGCAAGTGGTAATTCACAGGTTAAAATTAAAAGGTTTTTATTACTAAATACTTTTATGAACATAGCTAGTGTTCCAAAAGAATAACAACCCCAAACAATGTCAAAGGAGGGTCCCCAGTAATATTCGCAATGGAAATAACTTTATAAAATCATTGCTTTAAAAGCGAAAATAGCTTCACATCAGTAGCCAACTTCCAGCGTTTCAAGCAATCTTTGATACGAAGTGACGGAACTATAAAAACTATAATAAAATGTCAAAAAAGTCTCACTTTGTGGATGGCGATAAAGAAAAAGGACTAGCGTTCTTTACACGAGCGCCTGTAGTCGCATCGCTCTCGAGTTGTGCGCGACGATGCCGCTGCGGCATTGGTGCTTACGGGTGACTCTTGCGCCGGAAGATTTTGCGCCTTAAATGTCTTTCTGCGCCCCAGGGCACCCAAGCGCCTCATCTCGCAATAAAACACGTGCAGGGTTTTGGGTCCATGGTTTTTGACAGAGGGGACATGTACCATCTTTCCATTGCCTATTATACCGGATGTCCAGGAGGAAACATTGAAAATAAGCTCTTAAGATAACTTTAAACATATTTTATCTAATAAGCTTATTTGATATTCTGAATGGCTGAGCCGCAATAAACACTCCAAAGTTGATACGTCCACGTCTGCGGTGGACATCATTGGTGGCAGGGTCGCGGGCGCAGTGTTCGGGGCGGCGGCTGGCTGGCGACCAGCTGGACGAAACGTTTGGCCCAACAATGCCAACTGGACCACGGCCTACCAGCCCGCAAAATCTACCTTCTATTGACTCCGGCCGTGAAAGCCTACGATACTATACTCCAAAGTAGGTTTGAAAAAATGCTTTCTAGGCAAAAATTTGGTTTGCAGAAGCACAGAAACACTCCAGAAACGTGTAAAATGTTTATTATTTACAAAATAAATGAATATTTTTGTTCAGAAAGATAAAAATAACCCAGAAATAAAAAAAAGCAGTCGATAGTGTAAAATGGATGTTTTTTTATTTCCGTGTTAATTTTTCTCTCTGAACAAATATATTCATTTGTATGTGCTTGACGAAAAACAAGACAAACTCATCAGTTCCTCCAACAAAGTGTAAGCTTTTCGTAATACTTCTTATGAATAACTTACTTGAATGTTAAGAAATTTTGTTTGATTTAAAATTTATTTGATTTTCAATTTCCGTTTTGTACATATGTGAACAAATTTAATTATAATTATGCTTCTGTATATTTTCAAACATAATATACTAGTACTAAGTTAAATTTGACAATTTGCCTATAGGAAGTGTAACTCAATTTTTACACTTACTC